TATTATTACTCTTTTTTTACAAGGAGTATCCAGGCTGCTCACAGATCTTCGAACCGACCTTCCACAGGTGCAGGCTCAGCGCCGCTGGAGGCGCGACGCGCACCACGGCAAGTTCGGCGCCGCCAAGCTCATGCGCCTGCGCAACAAGATCTCTTCCATGGTCGGCAACGTCACCTGCGTCATGCAGGAGATGAACATGCTGACCGCCGACAACGAGGTCAACTACGACTCCATCAAGGCTCGCTTCTCGGCGCTGCCGGTGTCGAAGGGACTGGTGGCCGACCTGGAGGAGAGTGTTGAGGAGTGCCGCCAGTTCTCCTCTTGCCTGCCCGAGTCCATCTTCGAGAAGACTCCGATCACCGCCGGTTTTGGAAAGCAGGTCGCCTTCTTCAGGTGCATGAAGGTTAGTGTCTCATGCCAGTACACTATTAGTTAGTTTGCCTGATTTCGTTTATTTAGCTTTTGAATCAAACGCATGAGTAAGATTTTATCGCAATTTTCTTCAACCCATTAGGTGAAAACAACAGCGTACATGTTTTGCCAACATCCACCATGTGAATCAGTGTATCCTGAATCCATGCTGAGATTTTGCTCTGGTTTGCCAACAGAATGCCAAGATCGGAGCGTGCATGAAGAAGGACTTCCGTGAGCAGTACCTTCCGGAGCTTATGAAGGACGACGTGAATGTGGACGGCGAGGAGAGCTTCCAGACCATCATCACCTCGGCCATTCTGGAGGAGGACAGCATGATGTAAACTGCTGACTCAAAACTTAAGAACGAAGATCGAAGAAGATGGCGACCGGACCTCGCCATGTCTTTGGCCCTGTTCTACTGTGCTGTCAGAAAGGAGGGCATTTTCGTGTTTTTCATGTGATTTCCATTTAAATTGACGTGTTCCCATTCCGCAGCTGACCCTAAACTGAAAATGAATGTTTTTGTCGGTAGTTAAACTGTTTTGAAAAGAAAAAAAAGAAAAACAAAAATAACGTTTTGAGTTGATTGTCATTGACACTTATGGACTTAGGCGATGCCGAAACATCCGCAGCAAAACCACCTTCATCACGGCATAGACAATACACAGCTACAACACTTTTATCAGTGGCTTCTGGCAGGAGCCGGATACACTAATTTTGCTTCTGTTAGCAACCCTTTAAAGTTGAGAAAAATATTTTGTCACAATTCGTAGTTTTTAATGTTAATTTCTTATGATATAGGTGTATTGTGTTTCACGGTTTTTCTGATTGCGGGCTTGGTGCATAGTCAAAAACTAATTAGTCGAAAACAAACTTAGCACTGCTAACATATGAGCCAAAGGTGTCACCCGTTAGCACCAACGATTCCTGCTATTTTAGCAATGCAGTGACATTACAGGAACATATCAAAGGTCTTTTTCAATTACTTTCTTACGTTAATATTTTTTTCTTCATTCATTTTTTTTTTCTATTAGGAGCAAACAATTAATTTTTCAGTGAAGTTTTGATAACAATGCTCAAGGAAACGTTGCACCGTCCTACAGGGAATAAGAGTCAATTAAAAAAGAAGTTGAAAAGAAATTTGAAACATCTATTAAAGGGAGATAATGACCTTTTTCCACAAAATCTGAGTTAGGACCATTTTCTGACAAAACACAACAAGTTATAATGTAAATTAAAACCATTTTGCTCAATTCTGTACCTTGCCGCAAATATCTCAACTTGAAGTCACGTTAGCGGGGAGCGCTGAAAATGACAGTTGAATAAGTACTTACATCACTTTTTGGTACTTGCATGTAATTTTGTAAAATGAGCGTATTCCTTACATTTGATCTTCATCACATCTAGTTAGTTAATGGTCGTCTATAGTGCCTTCAAAAGATATTCATGGTTTGGGGGTGGTTTATGTCTAAATTTACGCAACTATTTTTCCTGTTCATCATCTGACGCCATATGCTGCTATTTTAGTAGCAACGACTCAATTTTGAATCGGTCCCGCCGACTGCACAATAAAAGAAGATAAATACAACACTTTTGCGGCATCACTGAAAAACTTATGCAGTACTGTTATCAAAATTCTCATAACACCGTTCGACAAACCTGAAGTCTTTTTGAAATAAATATGCTTGTATTTTTCGCTTCAGGCTCTGACGCCAAAATAATGAATTTCGTAGTCGCAATCGCAAGATTTGGCTGCGTTTCTGGCGCATGCCGTTCATTTGTGGCGCAAAATAATGTTGGAAACAAAGAAGAATAGGCACTATGTACCCCCGAATTAGAATCTAATTAATTCTAAACCGAATTAACTCTTATTCAAATTAGAATCCTTACAACCAAGCAACGACAAGGCGATAACATAAACAAAAACCCAAGCGTCGCTGTTTGTAATAAAATCGCATATACTGCGACTTTTTTTATAGAGAAGGACAACGCATTTCGGTGGGTGTTACAAGTACTGCAAGTACTGCTTCTTTTTTGCAAAAATAAAAACCTTTTTCACATACGAAAATGTGCTAGGAAATTTTCATATTTTATAGAAACCACAGTAGAAATAGTATAGATGTCGAGTAATTTTTATTTAAGAAAAAGAAAGCTCATTATCTCCCTTTAACGAGGTAGCTGACGATGAAACTTGATCTATCGTTAAACACCGAGCACCCACCTGGAAAGGCCCACTTCCATGTGTTATGGAAGGGGTGCTACCGCACATCCGCACTGTGCACTGTGCAGGTCCCACTTATTCATTTGAAAAGCACTGAGCCGATTGCGCTAAAAGATGGTCCGTCGATAGAGTCACAGCATCGCAGGAAAAAGCATTCGCGGATAGTTCTTCTAAGCTCTTTTGCTGATACATCCTCAGCTTTGGACAACGATTAGTGGTTTGGCATCAAGAGAGTAAAATAGTCAAAGTCTGCGTGTTCTGTGAAAATGTTTTTTTTTTCCTGCAACACGTTTTGATACAGAGATTGTAAGTGACATCCACTTTACAAGCTTGGTTTTACCATGCATCGCTCTATGTGTCGAAGGAGTTTATCTTTAAAATGTTAATCTGACATTTTGACCTTTGAGCTAGGCCACCGTAGGGGAATGTGGGGAAAGACAGCCACCCTAACTTTGGAGCCATTTTCGGTCGGTTATAAATAGCATAGAGATGCAAAAATTGAGTGAAACCCTTCTTTAGACATTTTACCTCCATTTGCCAGAGGATGTTTTTTCATGCCAAAATACCAACTTTGAAATTTGAGCTTTTTGACGTTTTCGACCTCACCTCGACAAGAACATAGCCCGAAGTAGTCCAGACGGTCACCTAACCCACACCACTAAAGGGACCCTTCCACCTTAAAAAAGCTAATGAACTGGCATCATGTGTTGTATCGTGGTTCAGAAAGAGCAAAAATGAATCTGTACCAAATTTCACCGAAAAATATTTCCAGTTTTTTTTTAAGGTATTAGACTTCTCTTTTTGATTATTTTTGGGCCTTTTGAGTGCTTATAACGTTAGTATAATATAAATTATAGTCTACGCTGACCTCATAAAGTAAGAAAGACAATCCAAATGCATTAGTCCCTCTGAATTCTAGTGCTGCAGACTTTGAAATCAACTATTTCCTAGTTGAGGCATTTTTCAATGTTGTGACTTGTGAGAACCCGGACCAGTAATTGTGAGCCAGGGATCCCAATTTGGCTATTTCAACTCAAAACTCATGTTAAGGCGGGATGGTCACTCAAAAGTTGAAATGTAAAATTGGACACAGTGTTCATCACTTGATCCTAGTAAACTAGGGTTCATCATGACCCTTAGGGACCTGATCAGTGACCTCATTTAGCAAAATATGTGTAAAAAAAATATAGCGCACCAGCGACGAGTTAGTGTTTAGATAACATGCTTTATGCTCGATGTTATAACACGTTTTTTATAATGCCAGTGACCGATCAAAAATGTGGCCTTGGACCTGATCTGTAACGTTATCGGTTAGATCTAGGTGAATGAAATCCGGGCAAGTGGTATTTCCCCAGGTGGGTCACCGTTTTTATTTTGAAAATCGGTCGGTAACATTCGGAGGTCTTGGGGGGGGGGGGATCCCATACGCTCCCCGCAAAGGGTGGTACGGTCCGCTAATAGCCCTACCGGGAGTGGACTAAAAAATGTCAAATGTCAAACGATTTATATAATATGCCGAGCATTGTATGAGCACCATACTTTGTACATGTAACATACCCCGCCAGTTGCTGGGGTGGGGGAGGGGTTCGTTGCTTTTTCTCCGCGGTGTAGCTATAAGCCAAAGAAAAAAAACGGCGCGCTGCCGACGCTCCAAATTGTAGGAACCTATAGACAATTGCTTAAAGGTTATTGTGACGAAATTTCACAAAATTGGTCTTAATTTTTTTTTTTTTTTTGCCTATGGAGGTTTGAGTGGCATCATTATTTCTTAGTTTTCGACCGAAACGGCATATGCTAAAAAAATCATTTAAAATCTCAGAACAGACCGTACAGACAGGCCATAAATGCCACAAGACTGCCCATGACATAAACAAACAAATGGCTATCTTCGACTTCTAATTATCGTTCCACATTTCCCAAAATCTTAATCTGTATCTTGGCAAATTCTTGTAACTACTTAACGAGGCAGGACTATGATGCATGCATTTCTTAGATTGATCTTTTTGACCAAAGACGTGCTCGTATGCTAAAATTAATGTCACCGTCGTAATCTCCGCCCAAAAATGTCCATAAACATGCTGTTGTTACGTCATATGTCATATCATATCATGTTAAGTCGTGTCACATGCATCATATATAATATATCACACATCACATGTCAAATATGTCATATTTTGCGAATACCACTCTTGATTTTCGGGTATTTGTGCGTATCTGATTAACCTGACCTTGACCCTGAGTTGACCTGTGCTTGATGGACCTGTCACTAGTGCAGCACTTAGGTAATTGAAGGATTGCGCGGATTGCGCACGTCTTAATAGAGCTTATGACAAGGGACGCACAGTTCGAGGATCTAAAGTCCCATAACAAAAAGTTTGCCATACAAGTTCAGCCAGCAATGCCAGTTTGTTGTGCCTTCGACTGCGACTGTCAGGCCGGTGTCGCTGTGGAGGCCACCGACACACCGGTGGCAATGCTGGGGTTGTCGTTACCCAGCTATCGTACGCCTGATGTTTGTCCATCAGGTGTCAGGCATCTGCAAAAGTGGCGCTCCTCTGTTGACACCGCGAAGGACGACCTCCCTGTGACGTCGGCAGGGCCTCCGGCGCGGCGGTGGGCAGTATATATGCTGCTCGTGCTACAACGATAGCCAGTCCAGCCAAGACCTCTCAGTCATAGGTAAGGTGCTTCATCTTCTCTTCACTTGTAAAGGAGACGTGTTGTTCCTGGTGCAGCCCTGAGCTTCCTTTGGCCTCCTCTCTGACTTGAACCTTGTCTAACTTGTTAGCCTTGATTGTGGACTTCACATAAAATGCTGAACCTTGAAAAGGACGTTTCTAGGTATTAAGGTATTAAGGTATTAGGTATAAGGTATCAAGGTATTATTTTCCAGGTATTAAGTGGTTGGTTGCCAACATCACAATCATCGATCTGCATTGATGAATACGTTAATGGCTGTTGAAAATCACTACCGAAATGTGTGCACGAACCCTTTTCTCATTTCTATTGAGTCATTTTACAGGAGTGTCTCTGTCAATTGAAGTTATTACACCAAAAGCACATAGGCTGACCAACCACTCTTTTGCTGGAGGGCCGTACCATTTTGAATAGCAGGAAGGGGCTTATAGGTGCAGCGCTTAGGCTGGAAGCTTGACATGTAACTTGCTGTTGCAAACACTCGATTCTCTTTGCGTTCACGCTTTGAGAGAGCTAATAGCTAAAAGCTTTGTAGAAGTTTTCCGCGAAATCTCCAAACTGCTTCCTCGACCGACGACTGCTTTTTCTCGTCTTTCAGCATCATGAAGTTCCAGATCTTGTTGATCGCCACCTGTGTGTGCGTCGCTTCGGCGGGCATCCCCAAGAAGCTCTTAAAGAAATACGCCATGAAGAAGGTAAGCAGGGGACGCCTAGAGAGAGAAGCCATGTAACTACTTTTTGTGGAACAGGATGATTCGTTAGACCTTGCAGTAGATTATAACATTTTGAGAATGATCAACTTCTCATGTTTCCAAAACATCATGCTTCAAAGCGCATGCTATCATTTAAAGCAGAATAGTGGTTCAACCGATATGCCAAAACTGCGAAAAAACTGCCCGCTGCCACAGCTTTGCAACTTCACCAAAGTTCGTTTCGTTGATCAGCCCATATCATTCCTCGCAGGTAATGGAGAGCTGTTTCGGCGAACAGGTGATCTCTGACCTGAAGGAGGAGTTGGCCGCTGCCAGCGAGAAGTGTCATGGTCGTCAGGGACCTGCCCTGCCTCAGCTTCGTGACCGGCTCCGGTCTATTCTGACTGGCTCGGAGCTGGGGCAGCCCCAACCGTCTCTGTACTCGCAGAACGTGCAGTACGTGGCCATCCCCGTCCAGTTCCAGTCGGTACGTCTTCTCTTCATTTGCACCAGTTTCGGTGCAGTTTTCGAGAGGCAACTAAGTTATAAATGCCTACAAAATTTGCGACTTTTGAATGATATTTTGGTTTGAAGTTTTTTTTTTTTGGTTTAACAAATAACGAGGTTTTTCAAGTGTCCTTTCAGTTCTGCATTCAAGTGTAACCTAACCTCCTGCATCATGCAATTATTATTACTCTTCTTTTACAAGGAGTATCCAGGCTGCTCACAGATCTTCGAACCGACCTTCCACAGGTGCAGGCTCAGCGCCGCTGGAGGCGCGACGCGCACCACGGCAAGTTCGGCGCCGCCAAGCTCATGCGCCTGCGCAACAAGATCTCTTCCATGGTCGGCAACGTCACCTGCGTCATGCAGGAGATGAACATGTTGACCGCCGACAACGAGATCAACTACGACTCCATCAAAGCTCGCTTCTCGGCGCTGCCGGTGTCGAAGGGACTGGTGGCCGACCTGGTGGAGAGTGTTGAGGAGTGCCGCCAGTTCTCTTCCTGCCTGCCCGAGTCCATCTTCGCCAAGACTCCGATCGCCGCCGGCTTTGGAAAGCAGGTCGCCTTCATCAAGTGCCTGAAGGTCAGTGCCTATGTCTGTTCACCATAAACACTGTGTCTGATTTCGCTTATTTAGCTTTAGTGATACGTGAAAGCGTGATTACGATAGTAACATTATAACGTTCAACCCAATAAGTGAAAATAACGGCGCACATGTTTCGCAAACGACAATCATGTGAGTCGGTGTATCCTGAATCCTTGCTGAGATTGTGCTCTGGTTTGCCAACAGATGGCTAAGATCGAGGCGTGCATGAAGAAGGACTTCCGCGAGCAGTACCTGCCGGAGCTGATGAAGGGCGGCATGAACGTGGACGACGAGGAGAGCTTCCAGACCATCATCACCTCGGCCATTCTGGAGGAGGACAGTGACATGTAAACTGCTCACTCAAGACTTAAGAACGATGATTGAAGGTGGCGACCGGACCTTGCCATGTCTTTGGCCCTGTTCTACTGTGCTGTCAGAAAGGAGGGCATTTTCGTGTTTTTCATGTTAATCCCACTTACAAAATGTGTTTTCATGTCGCAGTTGACCCTGAACTGAAAATAAACGCTTTCGTCAATAGCTGACTCTTAAAATATAAAATATATGACTCTCTTAAAATATAAAAATAATATCGTGAATTGAATGACGCTTCAGCGAGTTATATCATGCCATAACCATTGAAAGCGAAAGCATCAGCGAAATCCACCTTCATCACGGCATACCATGTCTACTCTACGTTAGGTTGTAGGCCTGTAGCTTCTGACATGAGGCGAACACCTACACACATTGCACTTCCTCAGGCGAATCTAGAAGACGTAGAAAAAAATAGATCTCGTTGCCTATTAATTTTGATTGCTTATAATAGCCTGCTGAGTCTCACATCCTACTGACTGTCGCTTTGATATATTGCAAAAAAGTTAGAAAACAACTTAGATCTGCTAACAGGCAGACGTTAGCACCCAGTAGCACCAACGATGCCTACTTATTATTTAAGCTATGTAGTGACAGTACAGGATTAATTTCAAAGGTCCTTTTTCGACTACTTTTCTTTGTGAGTATTTTTTTTTTAATTGATATCTACACTTACTATTAGAAAATAGTCAGTTTTAAAATTCCTTTTAATAATCACGGTCAAAGAAACGTGTACCACATTAGATTAGTCGCACTTTAATCAAAATTAATCAAAATGGAATTTAAGCACATTTGTTTATGGTGCCCTAAAACTTGATCTATCGTGGATCAATAGGTCCGACCGGGGAATGCACTTTTTTACGTGTAACGGAAGGAAATGATGCTACCGCACCTTCGGATACGCACTGTGCAGAGCCCACTTGTACCTGTGAAAAAAAAGACACTGTGCATTGTGCAAAAACCCTGTGCATGGGCATTTGTGTTGTGTGCTTTTATCGTAATTTTTAAGCATTTTTTAGGTCATAGCATGATGTTCTTTTACCCACTTCATCGCCATCTTTTATTGACTCAGTGCCATGACTCCGGTCATAGGTAGAGGACGGCCACTACGAAGTAAATAAATAAATAAATAAATAAATAAATAAATAAATAAATAAACACTGAACCAATTGCGCTAAAAGTTGGTACAGCGTAAAGAAACAGCTAGTTAGGTAGCCCGCAAAAGTCAGATGGGGCCTCACTTTGCATGTGCGCGGTAAAGGTTTTACACGCATGAGACAGATGGGTCTCACCCGCAGAGCCACCCTCCTTTGGCAGGGCCAAATGAGCGTGCCGAAGAGGGTCTCAGATGCCGAAGAGGGTCTCATGGCAGCCAATGCTAGGCCTACGAGAGCCTCAGCCCTCAAGTAAACCCACGCCGACATTCCACATAAGTTAGAGTATATCTCACAGTCACATCCGGCCATACTCGTGAACCGGTGCCAGCGACACTGACCGCCAAAATGACAGAATGCGAAACTGAGCCCACGCATGAGTGAAATTTACTTCCTATGGCGCAAGAACGACCTTTCATTAAACGAGAAAATGAATTCTACAAAAAGTTGTGTAGGATTTTTGTTCGATCTGAAAAGGTGGAGCCAAAATGGAGTATGGCCACACCTTTCACCACCGAAGGGGGGGGGCATGGCTCCCGTGCCCCCCCCCCTGGGACCGCCTATGCCCTTCTAAAGCCCGTTTGCCCCCCCCCCCCAAAAAGACCCGAGTTTTAACATTATACCTATGGCGGTGCATGGAAAGAGAAGGGCCATTTCCGCCGTTTGCCCCCCCCCCCACCACCACAAAAAAAAACGTTCGGCTGGATCCGCCCATGCCCGCTGGTTTTGGAATACATCACTTACTTTGGAATGATCGGTGATCACGTTCGCAAGTGATGTTTTCCTATTGATGTAAAAAAAACAGTATTGTCACTGCCTTCTATCCCTTGGAGCAGAACTGACGCTGCCTCCGATTACAGAGCGGTCACCATGCTTGGTCTCCCCTCCCCTCCCCCCCACACACACAAAACGGCTGCCCATTCAGAGTGTTCCGCTCCGGCGGCGTGGGCAGGATGATGACTCGCGTGACGTCACCGCCTCTGGTGTTAATGGCCTCGGGTGCGTCTCACCCCAGCGATCGCCGCGGGTCCTATAAAAGACCACCTCCCGGTGGCGTCCCCACTCAGTCGTGGGACCACAGCCCTCCGCGTTCTTGTCATCTAGGTGAGCCACGGCCACGGTCAGCCTCCGGCCGGCAGCTTAGAAGTCGTGTGTTTTCGTAACCAACGCGTTTTATTCTTGTTTACGTTGTAGAGATGTCAATCAGATACCAACTTTTTGGTATACCGATTCCAAACCGATACCAACTTGGTATTTGGTATTTCGATCCTAATGCTGTTGGTATTTTGTTGGTATTACGAATCCCGCTTATGTATAAGAGGATATAAATTTGGTAAAAAGTTGACATTTCCCTCACGTTTCTAAATTGGTTTGGTTTCGGTATTTAGCTAATCAGATGTTGATTAATTCTTATTTACCATTTTCACCGTTTTCAGAATCAGCATCATGAAGCTCCAAATTCTCCTTCTGGCTGCTTGTGTATGCATCGCTTCGGCGGGCATTCCAAAGAAGTTGCTCAAGAAATATGCGATGAAGAAGGTAAGCGTTCGTTGTGCTATCGTACTTGTAGGTAAATGCATGATACCTTGGTCATTTAAATTGACAAATGGGAGTACCTAGGTATTAACACGCGCACCGACGGGGGGGCGGATATCCCCCCTGAGGTTTTTCACGGATAGCGGGAAAACCGCGGCGCGCTAAGCGCCGCGAAATTTGGTACGACTATTCTCTCATCAATTTTACATATGGTGTGCAAGTTTGAACCTCCTAACTTTTAAGGTCAGGTCACCAGGTCACTTTGAATGACCCAACCTCAAGTCACTTTTTTGCAACTTTGTCATCGTGCCAGAGCTACAGTAGATGTCGGAGGCCTTTGAAAGTCGCAGGATGATGTTATTAGGTCATTAGTAGCTACAATTTGTATATCTCGGAATTTTGATGTCGGTGACCTAAGGTGAGGTGAATTTCGCGACCTCCCCATTATAAGTTAATGGGGGAAAAATCAACTCCCTGTTTTTACCACTAATTACTAAAACGGGTCGGAATGGCCCCATATACCATACATGACTTCATATACGATCAACCTTCACTACCTTGAGGTCTGTTTTGCTGTTGGGCAGCTGTAAGGTCATGTGACGTCATCAAAGGTCACCAGTGTTTTTTTTTGCCAATAACTCCGTACAGGAAGAAGATACAGCCGCGCGGATGGTCTCATTGTGTTCAGCTCGTCAAGACGCATCGAATGATATACATGATAACCTCGAGGTCACGTGACCTGAGGTCAACCTTTGACCTTGACCTTTCGAGGTCAACATATATAACATTCGATGCGGATTGACGAGAGGATCACGATGATGCCCTTAGTGTGTTCCTATCATGACTAATTCGAAAGTTATTCGAGAAAAACTCTCTCCTTATCTAGCGCCGCCATTTTGACTTTTTCGACCCCTGTGACGTCATCTTTGACCTGACCTGAAAATGATCTTTGTAAAAATTGTAGATCTTGTCTGTGCGTATCCGATGCCGTTTACCGCTTGTCGCTATCTTGCTTCGTTCTCGAGATCTCCGGGGGGGCGGTCATCCGCCCCCCCCCCCCCCCGGTCGGTACGAAGTTGGCGCAGACCCCCGTCGGTGCGCGGGTTAAAATTCTTGCGCATTTTTATTGTAAATTAAGCACGTCAAATCAGTTATTTTCATGGCATTTAAGCTTGTTCTTGTGCGGCTATTTATCTATTTCACATATGAGGTAGTTTACGACAATATTTTGAAAGTTCAAGCTTCACATGCTTACCAACTGACTCTATCTGACCTGGATCACCTGATCTGACACCCGACATTTCCAGCTCTATAACTAGTAACTACGCCACCATTTGCGTACCACCAGATTATGGAGAGCTGTTTCGGCGAGCAGCTGATGGCCGACATCAAGGCCGAGGTGGAGGCGGCCTGCGACAAGTGCGCCGGCCAGCAGGGGCCCGAGATGCCGCAGCTGCGTGGTCAGATGGCGGCCATGCTGGCCGGCTCCGAGTACACCTCCCGGCCGGCCAGCTACGCGCACAGCGTCCAGTATGTGCCCGTCCCCGTCCAGTTCCGGCCGGTGAGTGCCGTGCCGTGGCGTGGGGGTCTGGCGAGGACAGCAGGGACTCACAGGATGTCAGGACATAATAACAGAGGATGGAGTGATTTTTTGCTGGTTGATATCTTTATCAGTCGATATAGAACTGAGTGTTAACCGTTAAACTTTGTGGCAGGCATCTTGCCATCATATAAATATCAGCTACTGAGAGCACTGATTGCTTAGACCTTCAATCTGTGTGGTCACATCTCCAGGTATCCTACCAGCGTCGCTGGAGGCGCAGCGCAGATGGCCACATCACCGCCGACAAACTGGAGCAGATGAGGGCCAAGATCGCCTCCCTCGTCGGCAACATGACCTGCGTGCTGCAGGAGCTCAAGTTCCTCGACTCTGACAAGCAGGTGGATTTCCCGTCGATGAAGCGCAGGATCATGGACCTGCCCCTGCCGAAGGAGATGACGGACGACCTGTGCGACGGTTTGGACAAGTGCCGCGACTTTGCCTCCTGCATCCCCAGCTCCATCTTCGAGAAGTCTCCCATTATGGCCGGCTTCGGCAAGCAGATGGCCTTCTTCAAGTGCTTCGAGGTACGTCCAGTGTTGCTGACGCTGCAGTCATTATTACGACGGCCCGTAACAAACTAACGATAGGCGAAACTGTCTCTTTCCCATTCGGTTTTTGTATATTTTTTTTTTTGCAAAGTATGATGGCCGTAGCTGTTTTAGCGGTTCTTTTTCACTCTGCCTCTCTGCGTTACGGTATGGTGTTGTGTGTATTGCAGCGTATGACCCGTCCCGCCGTTTTCAGATGGTGAAGGTGGAATCGTGCATGAAGCAGGACTTCCGCGACGATTACTTCCCGGCGCTGTTGCGGAGCGGCCTGAACCTGGACTCGGAGGAGAGCTTCCAGACCATCATCACCTCCGCCCTGCTGGAGGAGCACAGTGAGATGATGTGAGCGAGGACACAGGACAGCAGCAGCAGAGTTGGATCGGCAGACAGCGGGAGGGGCATTGGAGAACACTGGTGTGAAACAGGGAAAATTCCCATTTTTCATGATAAACCTGTTGCTAATGCTACCTGAGGTTCGTTAAAGGGCATTGTTGCGCTAATGACACGACTTGGTCTCCAGAAATACATGAATTATCTGAAACGGAGTCTATCTGAAGCTGCTATTGATCGGTTGAATTGTAACGGAAATAAGTTGTGATATTTTATCTTGGAAGGATGTGATACAGTCCGATACCGTAAGTGTAGTAGAAAACGGAGAATCAATTCCAATGATATTTCAGAAACATTTGAAATGCTGCGTGTTTGTCATGAAACGCCAGAAAATATTTCGAATGAGTTGGGACAGCGTTTCCAAAGAAATGTTTAAGTATCGCACTTACATACTTCTACCCTGGGATCTAGTACCTGTTGGTTTTTCGTTGTTCCCTCGAAAAACCATTTGTTCAGCCGCAAATATATTTAGCGCTAGATGTATGTACGAATGAACAGAAACATCAATTACATACAACATGGCAGGCTACGGCAGGCTCCTTTGAATGATCACTGCTCCGTGACCACTCCGGCGGCCCGCCTTCCGCCCGGCCATCTACCCAGATTATTCGCTGGGTTTTCACAGCGTGTGACATGTACGCTAAGCTACCGCGATGGAAGCGGAGGATATTTCTCCAATGTTGTTACCACCGGTGTGCCGTTTCGGCAGGGAATTAATTGGTCCTTCCGTATGTGGGCAGACGGTGGGGCTGGTCGAGCCTCTGGCACTGGTCCCGCACAAAGCTTTTCTATAAGCAGCGCGCAGTTTGGCGTTCAGCAGACCGTAGGCCCAGCCCTCGAAGATGAAGGCCAGCAGGCGCACCTGGTGCAGGAAGCCGTTCACCTTGGGCATCGGGTACCAGCGGCTGACGAAGCGGATGATCGGGGCGACGATGTCCATTGTCACTGTCAGCGAGAGCACGGCGATGATCTTCTTGAAGGCGCGGAAGTTGCTGAAGAACTTTTGATCCTCAGTGGGGACGAGAAAGCCTCCACGACGCGTTCTTTCTTCGATGAGGTTCTTCATGACGCGGTGACCGGCGGCACCTGTATAAACCAGCAGACAGGCGGTGGCCAGGGAGAAGGTGATCAGCTGCATTTCGAACACGATCGTGTACACGTTGGCGAGCGCACTCTCCCAGCGACACTCGGGAAACAGCAGCGTAGTGTTGGTGCTGTTCAGCGCGTTGTCGGCGAATGTCTCCATGTCGAAGATGTTGACCAGAAGACCAAAGACGATCTGGACAGACCATGTGAGCCAAGTAGCGGCTAACATCCACGGCAAAGCGCGCTTCATGATGGTGAAGTGGCGCAGAGGATAGAATACAGCCACGAACTGATCCAGCGCCATGCAGACCTGGCCTGCCTTGAAGGCGATGCCGAACCCGAATCCGATGTACTGCAGGGATCTGCACAGGCCGGTGATGTCCAGGCGGATAAGGTCGTAGATTCCGATGAGTATGATGGCCAGTCCGTCCATGGCACACGCCAGAGACATGTTACCGGCGAGCGCCGCCATTGGTTCGTCCCAGAGACGGCGGTCGTTGAGCACCACGAACAGAGGCACGGCAAAGTTGGTGGCCAGCACGGTACCCACGATCGTCTTCATCCAGATGTACATCATGTTGTATGAGAACGTACGCCCGACTGCCCTGCAGGGATAAATGGCTGTCCGTCTCCCCGCTGCCGCCTCCTTTATAAGACTGTGCGACTGGTATCGAGTCCAGGAGTCTTGAGCGCGTTTGCGTTCTCAGAACAGCGAAGTGGTCCTTGAAGGATGTGTGTTGTGTAAAGCCTTCCGAGCAATGTATTATATGCACCGTACCGTTTTTGTGTAACTTGTCGACATAAATCAATTGCTCTCCCAGCCTCTTGGAGGCCAATTATGTTTTTTTCCTCTCGTGTGCTTTCATTAAGCCGGAATTACAGCAGAATATAGCCCATGCACGAAAGGTTTTAGTAGCTTTTATAGTTGCGCCATTGCCCGCAATGTGCGCATCTATCACTCATACTATTTTGTGAAATCGTACACGAACCCTCGCCGACCGAGAGGGAGGAGAAGGGCCGAGGGGGCATGTGCCGCCCCTGATGTAATCGAAGTTTTTCCTTAATAACTTTCGATCAAATTGACCTAGCGAGTCGGAAAAGCCACCAATGGACTCAAAACGATCTGACGAATCGAATGATACACAACATGACATCAAGTAAGCTTTGTGACCTGAGCAACTTTGACCTGACCTTTCCCATGATGTTGTCACCCCAATTTGATCTAACAAATTATTAACCCGCGCCGTGCTGGGGGGGGCGTTTTTACACCCCCCCCCTCAGGTTTTTCGCGAATATCTCAAAAACGGCGGCGCGCAGCGCCGCCGTTTTTGGTACACGTGTTCCTACATCATTTCCGCACATGTTGTGAAAATTTCAGACCTAGGCCGTTCAAGGTCAGGTCACCAGGTCACGTCAAGTGACCTTACCTCAGAAAAAGTTCAAAGGCTCGCTATAGCTACACCGACTGAACGATCACTTTGAAACTTTCAGCGATTGATATGAGTAACAGTATGTATAAAATGTATATCTCGGATTTTTGATATCTGTGACCTAAGGTCAGGTCAATTTTGCGACCTCTCCATTATAAGTCAATGGGAGAAAATTGAAATGCGCCTCTTTTGGACGAATATCGTTCAAAACGCTCTCAAACATCGGTTCATAGGTAAACATGACACACTGAATAGGAAAAATGCACCTGTGACCCCTCTGTGTGCCCCTGAGGTCATCTCAGGTCATGAACGGTCGCCAGCAGTTTTTTGGCTATAACTTTTGATAGAGACGTGCTAGAGCGGTGAAAACACGTCAGATGTGTTCAGCTCGACGATACGGATCGACTGATATGCAACGTGACCCTTTTCGGTCAGGTCATGACCTTGACCTGAGGTCAAATTTTCAAAATGACCTTTCAAGGTCAACAAATAGTTCATTCGACGCGTCTCGACGAGAGGAACACGATGCTGGCAAAAGTAATGTCATGGCGCTTATGAGTCAAAAGTTATTGACGAAAAAACGTTTTTCGTAAAAACGGCTATTTTTGGAGTTTTTGCCCTCTGGAGGCTAAACCGTTGACCTGAGGTCAAATCTGAGAACATTACTCAGAAAGGTCTGTAAAAGGGCTATCGAATGCGCTTTTCCGCGGCGCTGTAGCTCTATCGGTTCCCGAGATAGCCGTTGGCAGTTTCCAAAATGTTGAAATAGTCAACATTTTACCTTTGGTGACCTCTGGTGACCTGACCTTTGACCTGACCCAAAAAATGACCGAAGTGTTTTCGTCCTTATTTTTGACGCTCTTTCGATTGCCGCTTACCGCGTGTCGCTACGTGGCCCAGGAGCCGAGTTAGACGGGGGGGGCGTGAAAACGCCCCCCCCCCCCAGCACTCGGCGGAAAGTTCAGGCCACCAGCACGGCGCGGGTTATATCATTGGACTCACCTGACCTGCCATAATCACGGCTCTTCGGCCATTTTGTAAGTTCATGAACGTTTGCGAACTGTTCGCTGAGTGTTTATCAAAATTCGGCCGATGACCTAGCTTGTTTGTGAACGAGTCTGATCCTGATGTTTACATTTGTTTATTTAAAAAGTCAACCCTCGCCCCAGTGCGGGGGGGCATATATAGGTATGTGGCATATGGGGTCGGTCGGTAACATTAGGAGATCTTAGGGGGCGGGGGGGGGAGGGATTCCATGCGCTCCCCGCAAAGGGTGATACGGTCCGCTAATAGCCCTACCGGTCGTGGACTAAAACAATGTCAAACGTCAAACGATTTATGTAAAATGCCGAGCATTGTATGAGCACTTTACTTTGTACATGTAGCATACCCCACGAGTTGCTGGGGGAGGGTTCGTTGCTTTTTCTCCGCTTTTTCTCCGCGGTGTAGCTGTAAGAAAAAAATGGCGCGCCACTGACGCGCTCCAAATTGTAGTAACCTATAGACAATTGCTTGAAGGTTAATGTGACGAAATTTCACAAAATTTGTCTTAACTTTTTTTGGCATATGGAGGTTTGAATGGCATCATTATTTCTTAGTTTTCGACCGAAATGGCATATGCTCAAAAAAATCATTTAAAATCTCAGAACAGACCGTACAGACATGCCATAAATGCCACAAAACTGCCCCTACCATAAACAAACAAATGGCTATCTTCGACTTTTAATTATCGATCCACATTTCCAAAAATCTTAATCCTATTAGTGGCAGGCTCCTGGCTACCCCTATTAGTGGCAGGGGGGGCTGTTTATGACTCCCCTTGATATCTCGAGATCTAACGGGCCGATTTTCAAAATTCAAACGGCATTCGATTTCGCTCAACGTGATCTACATTTCTAAAAAATAAAAATTAATACATACTTTACGGTGCGTTCACTGGAGATTAACCGTGCGTTAATTCGAAGGTAGCCGTGCACCAATTTAAATTAATACATACTTTACGGTGCGTTCACTGGAGATTAACCGTGCGTTAATTCGAAGGTAGCCGTGCACCAATTTAAATTGGTGCACGCGCGTGCAGTGATGACTTTCTCGACTGAAGTTTTTCGGAAGGGTCATTGACTTTATTCTAAGATTTCCCATAAAGGGCCCTTTTTAGTGGCATGGACTAGGTTTAATTTTCATTTAAATTCGCACCGTTAAGCATGTATTAATTAGTTTAACACATGGTTTCCGTGCATAAATGATTTTAACGCACTCGTGGATGGAATGGAGCACTTGTGCGTTAATGCACTCGTTTCACTCGTGCATTAACACACTCGTGCTCCAATCCATCCACGTCGTGCGTTAAAACCATTTACACACGGGAAACCATGTGTTAATATATATTGGTGCACGCGCGTGCAGTGATGACTTTCTCGACTGAAGTTTTTCGGAAGGGTCATTGACTTTATTCTAAGATTTCCCATAAAGGGCCCTTTTTAGTGGCATGGACTAGGTTTAATTTTCATTTAAATTCGCACCGTTAAGCATGTATTAATTAGTTTAACACATGGTTTCCGTGCATAAATGGTTTTAACGCACTCGTGGATGGAATGGAGCACTTGTGCGTTAATGCACTCGTTTCACTCGTGCA